AAAAAAAAAAAAAAAAAAAATACAAATGCTTCAATCATTTTTGAATATTGTCTATATTTTCTTCGCCGCGTCTAAATCTCTTGTTTAAATTCTTTTAACAGGTTCGCCATTGGGCGAAATACAGTGCACCCGATACGCGACTGTACCTCGAAACCACATGAAAAATCTCCACGTTACAAGTGTCCGCCGTTATCCCGATCCTCCTGCTCTGCCGCTTCCTACAAACGTTTCCGAGATATTTGCGAACGAAACCGGCCGGTTCACACCTGAGAGGGCACGAGACATTGCCGCACCGGTGCTACTGTACGGCAAGAATGATGGCACGTCGTTCTCTTTCAATCAGTTGTCAAAGCCGGCAGTAACGTGTTCGAGTAATCTAGAGAACTGCAGCGACATGCACGTGGACTCGTACGACTGTTTTGGAGCAATTAGCCTGAACGGGACGATGCAGAGCAACGTGCCGAAACCGTTCTGCTCCAATGGGAAATCGATGCATTTGAACATGCCGGGCGGTCAGTGGGCCAGAGACGGAAAATACATCGCCGAAGACATGCAGAAATCACACTATCGGACCGTTCGTTTACTACCGCAATTGAAATTGGACAAAAGCGGTTAGTAAGAATACACCAAGGAATAAAATCGTTTCTCAACGATTTTCCATATGTTCAGAATATCGCGAGGCAACGTAAAATTTTTCTCACATGGTGTAGGGATTAGAAAAAAAGAAAATATGTATGTATTTTTATGAAATGAATATGGTTAAAAGCTCGCAGTGTAGATATGCTAATAAGTGAATATGATTGAAAGCTCCGATTAACTCTTTCGCTACAAGATTAAATAACCGTGTGCATAATAACCGTGTCATTTCAGAACTTTTAGCAAAAGAGTTAATGAAAACTGTGATAGTTAAATTGTTGTATCATTATATTGTATCGTTATTAACGTGGAGAATACCGTGAAAATTGTAATCTGTCACTCAGGTCTAACAGCGAATTTGCCTTCCCAAGTAATATACGAGCCAAAATATATCTACAGTATGGGATATTCAACGAGACCGTCCGAACCAGTAAATAAGTTAGTGAATGATAATAACCAAAAAGGGGTTAAAGAAATTCGACAAGAGTTATCCCAGAGAGAAAAATTTAAAATATTAGCCAAAGAATATGGGATTACCGTTGTCATATTTCACATAGGAATTTCTCTGATATCTCTCGCTGCTTGTTACACAGCCGTAGCTAGGTTCGTGTTTACAATTATATTCAACATTTTTTTTTTTGTATGCAAGTAATTCGTTTCGCTTTGATACTTTTAAAAATTTGAATCGTTTTTCATCATAAAAATATTGATTTCAGAGGTATAGATTTAAAACCTATCATTCACTTTATATTCAATATAGAAGATGAACAAATAGAAGCTTACGTTGGTAATTCCTCAACTTTCTTGATTGCGTACGGTATGCATAAACTTATGGTACCCCTCCGGTTTTCGATAAGCATAGGCGGAACACCATTCCTTGTAAGGTATTTGAGGAAAATTGGATTTCTTAAACGTCCAAAAAAAGTAACACAAACTACGCAGAAATAATATACAATTACAATCCTTTTATAATCGATTATAATCCTTATTTGATTGATAATGTATATTGATTTGCACATATATGTATATTTTGCATTTGTTGTATATATAAATCAACATGATTTAATAAACTTAAATACACGTGTAAGCCATTGGTTTTTATGTATATATTCAGGTTTATTATATAAAGAATATAATAGTTGCAATTACTTTACACAACGTCATATATTTTATGATATTTTACGCGTCTACCATAAGTACGGCTGTTGTAATTATACAATGTTTTTATTAATAAGTTTTTCTTTGTTTTGTTTTTTTTAATTAATCGCCGTAAAGTACATGTCATACTGCGACATCTTTCGACGTTTGAGTTCTTACGTCACTACGGGTCTTCGCGCGCGTTCAAGTTTTTCTATATATCACTTCAAGTTCCAATTCCAATCGTTTTCTCTCTTTGGCCGTCAACGGTCATGGTGGATGGATATTAGCCTCATCTGATGTCAATGTCTCCGCAGTGTTCGTCCTATACCAATTCCAATGATATAAAGTCACCAGCAGTTTACCTACGGATCGATGGCGATCACCAGGTTAAGTATGGAGGACCGGCCCTAGGATGGGTTCCATGCCGTTTTTTAGAGGCCCGAAAAACTCAAGCCTTTGGAGCTTAAGGATCACCATCATCAGTCTTATTGATGAAGTCTGGCTAGTGAATCCGAGACAAAAAAAACACCTTTCCTTATTTTACTCTATCTTACCTAAAATCGTCGTGTTTCCCCCATAGTGCCGTAAGTTGTAGCATTATTCATTAATAGCAGATCCCCCCCTGCCCTTAGGACGTGACAATACTCAAAAGCTCGGCAATTTCAATGGACGAATTAATCAGTTATAATTGGAACAATAATTGCGCTTGATCCGCAAATCCTTACTGAGTATTTTCGACGTGACTCGTAGCTATCGAGTCAGTTCGAGATTTGATTACGCATAGGAAACATACGAAAATGCCAATTGCTTGGCAAACATGTATATATGTACATGACTTTTAAAAAATATATTATAGTACATAGTAAAATTAACGTATATAAGTGTATATACAATTCAGTTAACCTAGAATAGTACATGTCCTATAATTTGGATATTTTGTATCCTCTTCGAAGATGCACTTGCCTTAATTATTTCCTGCAAAGGCAAGCTATTTTTGAACGCATTAAAACAAAAAATTCAGGAACAAAATGAACAAAATTTTTCAGTGTTAAGAATAAACAAGTTTTAAATATATTCTCAGGTCATCTTAATTAAAATAGTTGTAAAATATTTCTCATATTGTTTTGTAAAACTACAAAAGTTGTTCGCGAGATTAGAGTAAGCGTAATTGTTCTCGATTTATTGATCAAACCCAAGATGGAAAGTTTGAAATTACAATGACACACAATAGTACCTTTGCTTTTTGTGCATATTAGAGAAGTACACTTATAAACATTGAACACATTTTCTACAGACAGTTTGAGCATTTATAACTTAAACGATGAGTTGCTGTGCTGTGATTAATTGCGATTTCTATCAATCGGAAAGAGGAAGAATTTATCACTTAAGGAAATTATGCAAAGGTCGTCTAATAACACTTGCAAATTAGTTAATGGTTAAATCTAACATTTTGCACAGTTCTTGCGGAACTTTCGTGGAAATACAAATAGCTTAAAAAAGCATTCAATAATCCTGATAAAAAAATATTTTGGCACAGTACTACATTTGTAATTCTTGTCATCCTTATGATGCACCGATAAGATACAAAAATAATATAAAAATGCTTATCTCGCTATTTCAATGTCTTTCTAATAAATCAAGTCTAGTAACATGACGTTATAAATTGAAAAATTTTGTCAAATACAATAGAATGCATATTTTTACGCTTTAGTTTGATTAGGTATTATTTGAGCGTGATATTCAATAATCAGATCTGGCAGTTTAGAAAGGCAAAACTTTTCCACTTTTGTTGCGTAAAATTAGTTAAGTCTTTAAACATACGCCTCAGTACGACGTCCTTGTATGTGATTGAAAAATTGTCGCCAACTAGTCAGCGTTTTACTTGACCATACCCAAAAGCTACTTGTTATACCAACAATCATAGCCATTAAATACTTTATCATGAAAACCTCGAATTCTGGTCGTCTGCCAACATCGCGAGTACGCTCTCCGACGGGGCACGGCATCGAATATAAAGATTGCGGTCCAGGCCTTGAACACATCTCCATGTTCCAAGTCAACATCCATTGATCAAAATATGCTTGTTCATAAAACAAGCAAGCAATGACGATCAAGGCAGGAACTATGTATAATACGGAGAATATGCCAATGCGTATCATTAGTTTCTCTAATTTGTCAGTCTTTGTACCGTCGTGTTTCATTACGGTACGTATACGAAAAAGAGAAACAAATCCAGCCAGTAAGAAGACAGTTCCAAGAATTAAATAAACGCACAATGGTGCTAGAACAAATCCACGTAGCGCTTCGACGTTCCAAAGACCCACGTAACAAACACCAGACAGTATGTCTCCTACAAAAATAAAATATTGCTAAGATATTGTATTAAAAACAGATCTATTGTCTTAGATTACTTACCTTCGACCTTTCCCATTGCCAGAATAGTGACGGTTTTTATTGCTGGAGCGGCCCAAGCCGCTAAATGAAAATATTGGGAATTAGCTTCTATCGCTTCGTGGCCCCATTTCAAGCCAGCAGCTAGGAACCATGTCAACGTTAGGATGACCCACCATATACTTGATGCCATTCCAAAAAAATAAAGCACCATGAATAGTACCGTGCATAGTTCATGCTTGGTACCTTGGGATATCGTTGATGCCATTTGAATTCTCATATCTAGAGGAGGTGGGAAAGGCTCTCTACAGGCAATGGAATTACCAGCTGCCCAACCAATCACGTATGCCAATGCTACCATGAGATAACATACTGACAAAAATATGATTGGCCTTTCGGGATACCTACATGTGAAACAATACGATATAAATCATTACACGCTTTAACTAACATATTTAAAAGTAATCATACATACTTTCACACCGGACTAAATTTGATTTGAAAGAAGAACAGACAACATCTAATAATTATTCGTGTGCAGGTGATAACTTATTACACAAGTACACAGGTACATGCTTTTATTCAAACTATATTAAAACTAACAAATTAATGACTGTCTCAATTATTAACTACAAATTAAAAACCGATTGAACTACAATTAAAAATTACTCTCACTTATTTACACTGTGCCTACACAATCGAATCGAGTCGTGTCCCTTTACCTGAACCTATCCGTGTCGATGAGGAACGTCAAGAAGGTGAAGAAACACGAAGCTGCGCAAACGGAGGCCCAAGTGCCGACCCAGATCCTCGAGAATCGTCGTTCCCTCTCTGTGAAGAACATCCCGTCGCACGGTGCGCCGCAGTTCGGCTCCACTTTATCGCCGACCTTCAGCGAATAACCGAGCTCGTGCGGGACCTTGAACTGCATCGGGCAAACGAAACCAAAGTCCCTGGCACCGAGCATGAACCCGCTGCCGTACGGTTTCGGCCCTCCGGTCCACGACGGTTGAAACTCAGGCACGGGCATCAACGGCGGCGGGTACACCGGTGGTGACGGTTCCGGCGGCGTGGTCTCGTTGTGACCCACGCACAATTCGGGGCCGCCGTTTTCCGGCAATTTCGAACAATCGAGATTGTCTGGCCAGGCGAAGCCGAAGCTGTTCATCAGCCGTTCGCAGCCGGCCCGAGCGCTCTCGCACAACGAACGACACGGTGGTATGGCCCTGTCGATGATCGTGCAGACAGGCGCGTACACCGTGCACAGGAAGAAACGTAGATCGGGGCTGCATTTCATTTTCACCAACGGCGCGAACTGATGCACCTCTTGGCCAGCGTCCTCCTGCTTCTGATGGTTCATCAGGTTCGGCATAATAGTCTCGTTGTACGGGATATTCATGCACAGATTGATGGTGATCGGCTCGCATCTACCGTGATGCGCCAACGGATCCTTCGCGTGGAAAGCGTCGACACTGAGCACGGCCACCGCCAGAGCGTAGTAGATCGTCGCGTAACACGGGGTGTACATCGTTGCGTATCGTTCAATTCGGGCCGCCGAGATTCCGAGATCGAATCGTCACGATTCGAGGTAGCTCACGAGAACACGCGGACGCGCCACGCCTTCGGACATCACCAGCGAATCGTGCGGGACATAATAATACTGAAGCTGGTGGAAGCGAGGAAACGAACAGCCGTACCTAACGACGATGATGGACGCGACCACGGTACTGTAAACAGAACATGGCGAACACGTTCTGACAGTGAAGGGACACCTCACCGCGAATCTACGAACCGCCCCTGTAGCGACATCTGTTCCTCAATCGTTTCGTCTCGTTGAAGAGTTCATTTCAAATAAACTTACGGCGCCAACTTTGTTAAACTCTAAAATAAGAAACTATGTATGTAAAAATCAATATTTTAACATAATTACTATGGAGACGTTTGTAAATAATTGTCAAGGATACTTAACAAATTAACGAAGGTATAAATCCAGATAGAACGTTGAATATTGTACATTGTACATTCTAAAGTCTAAAGTTATTATTAATTAAAAGTGTATAAATAACCAATTAATTAATTTTATTGTTCAATTAAATATTGTTAGATAATAGTTATTAAAAATATTAATATTAACAAAGTGTATAATTATTTGTAATACGGTGAATTTATAATTTATCGATCATCGTACCTACAGTACGCCGCTGCTGCCATCTGTCCACCATTGCGCATTCCTCGAACGAAGGCGGGACATTTGAAAAACCTGCGAATCTCACAAGAATGTAATAAAAATCGTAATCACTGCCGTTGCCAATGTACGAAAATGTACATTGTTGATCGCAACTTGTGCTATTCGTCGAAAGTCAGCGGAGGCTGTGTGAATGAGAAGGCACAATGTCAATCGAGTCATTTTGATTTTATTTCTTTCCCGACATACAATGCACAATAATTTCGTTAGTTGCAATGTTTATTCGTCGCAGATGATTAGCGTTGTTCGTAAGTACTATGGTTGTCATCGTTACACCTTTTTTTTTTTTTTTTTTTTAATTATATACATAGTACGTACGTGCTCGTGGAATTCGTGCACTTTCAGACGGGGGGAGTTCGCACCTTCGGGCGGTCATCACCAACTACGTGTGTCATAAATGGCATAGTCTCTCGAGCCCTACAGCGAGTTGCCCGAGACACACGATTTTCACAAACGGCCTCGTTATCGTAAACAAATAAATAATTTATCTCCTCGGAATACTCTCAACTTGAATCGTCGCATTAGACATAGGAGGTCAGCCTTACGATCTTACGATTAGTAACACTTAAGATTCAATACGGAAGATTGGAATATGTCGAGGGAGCCACTCTTTCGCCTTCCTGTTCAATTTTCAACGGTATTTAACGAACGGTTATTTGACTGGCCGGCGCGAAACGAAGAGAAGCCTATTATCATTTCTGCCGAGGGGAAAATCCTTGTTCTTGTCTTTCCTTTTTCTAATCCGTTTTTCTTCCTACCAAGAAGAAACAGGTCACTTTAGTTACCACTTACATTTTGCTCGGGGCAGACCGGCTACAAAATCACTTACACAATATCTATTGGTTACGACGTACATGTGTTGACTTAACATATACACGTCTGTGTTATAACGCCACGATACGTCGTGTATAAAACAATGTAATGACGAGGAAGACGATTGATAATACTAGGCTTGAAATTTTATAACGGGAAAATGGACGAGGCATGAAGTAAAATCATTTAGTGAACACAAAAAACTGATTTACGTAATATCATGTGCACACATAGCGTTCAATATATACATACATATTAAACGCTACACCATTTTCAATACTTTATTACCAGAGATTCATTCTTAAATGGATCGTATACGTTCGTTGGACCTATTATTATTATTCTTTTGCTCTTCCGTTCGGAATAGAGACCATACAAGTGGGAAGATCTAAAGACCTTTGGGCGGCTTAAAAACGTTACGATTGGCACAAAAAGCACGAGTTTGCTTCGCAAAGTGTACCGTGAGACGGAGGCCTCACTTTCCTCTGAATGATTTATTTGCACTTCTTCTACTCGCAATGGGACGCGCCAAGATCGTGAGAGAAACGTTACGTTAAATCGGGGCACGACCTGCGCGCTTTTCATCTTG